CTCTGGTTGATAATAAAGGTAAGTTCTGGTTGATAGTAAAGTTAGCTCTGGTTGATAATAAAGGTAAGTTCTGGTTGATAGTAAAGGTTAGTTCTGGTTGACGGTAAAGGTAAGTTCTGGTTGACAGTAAAGGTAAGTTCTGGTTGCTAGTAAAGGTTAGTTCTGGTTGAATAATAAAGGTTAGTTTTGGTTGACAGTAAAGGTAGGTTCTGGTTGCCAGTAAAGGTTAGTTCTGGTTGATAATAAAGGTTAGTTCTGGTTGATAGTAAAGGTAAGTTCTGGTTGACAGTAAAGGTAGATTCTGGTTGCCAGTAAAGGTTAGTTCTGGTTGATAATAAAGGTTAGTTTTGGTTGAAGTAAAGGTAAGTTCTGGTTGATAGTAAAGGTTAGTTCTGGTTGACAGTAAAGGTAAGTTCTGGTTGATAGTAAAGGTAAGTTCTGGTTGATAGTAAAGTTAGCTCTGGTTGATAATAAAGGTAAGTTCTGGTTGATAGTAAAGGTTAGTTCTGGTTGACGGTAAAGGTAAGTTCTGGTTGATAGTAAAGGTTAGTTATGGTTGATAGTAAAGTTAGTTCTGGTTGATAATAAAGGTAAGTTCTGGTTGATAGTAAAGGTAAGTTATCGTTGATATTAAATATGAGCTCTGGTTCTGGTAACATGAGTTAGTTACTTTAAAACTACACTATGACTCATTAATGAGTCTTACATAAAACACCACTTGTCTCTACTAACGCGCACCATTTGAAATATCTCTAACATTTAAATATATCTTTAACAGTTATCAAAGATTCCGTTACTGAAAGTCTAAATACTGTTTTAAATATTGCATTTAATAAATAAAAAACAACATTCATATCCAATGTTATAAGACAAAGTACACTCACGATTCATATCTAATGTTATACGAGTCGTCAAAGGAGCAGACATGTTGTTATTAGATGACTGGCACGTTAAGGTTACCATTAGATGATATCTCTTTAACTCTGGAATGACTAATTGGTTTATAACTGTCCCTCTGTCGGTGGTTTCGTAACTGTCATCCAAAAGTGTGTTATCTTTCCACCAGCTTACTGACGGAGAAGGTTTACCTAATAACAAGAAACTATTAATGAGTCAGTATTTAAGAAATTCTGACTGACGACGTTTTTAAACTGATGACGAAAAGTAAGGTTATGATTTAATTTCATCTAAACCGTTTCTCTCAGAGTGTGTGGCATTCAATAATAATCTTATATTGCTGTACTAGGCCATTAGTCGCCTGACCAACAGCGGTTCATGTGTTGGACAACAATCATCCATCATTGTACATGACCATTAGTCCCCTGACCAACAGTGGTTCATGTGTTGGACAACAATCACCCATCATTGTACATGACCAT